TATTTATTTATTTATTTATAAATAAATAATAATTAAAAAATGTTTCAAAAATAAATTTATGAATTTTACTAAACTACTAGAAGATTTTTCATGAATTTAAATTTTTTATGAATTCTATCAAACTATTGGAGAATCTCATAAATCAATTTTTATATTTAATTATTATTAATAAAATATTTTGTTTTGATCCTATCAAACTATTAGAGGATTTGCATCTTAACTTAAATATTACCAAATTATTAGAAGATTTAATATATTTTTAAAAATAAATTTACAAAAAAATCTCATCAAATTATTAGAAAATCTGCATCAAAGTAAATATTACCAAATTATTGAAAAATTTTACTAATTATTTTTTTGAATAAAAATATATTAATGAACCTGATGATGAAACCTCTTAAGAATGTGACACTAGTTTGCATGAATACTACTGAGATAAAAAAATTATCTTAAATTGTTACAAATTATTAGAACAAATTTAAGATTAATTTCTAATAATTAAATGATTTTGTAAAATTATAAGAATATTTTAAGGCTTGAATAATTTAAAATTAAACTGGTATTATTTTTTGGATAAAAGTTGTGAGGATGCTATAACTTCTTTATGTGTAACTGTATTCTTGAACCTAAAATTTGGTTAGAATCTACTATTTAAAGATATCAAAATCAATCTTAGGACTCTTTTTTAAATAGAACAGATTCATTTAGGTAGCTAATCATACTTAAATAAAAAAAATTGGTGACGATTTTTTTAATCCATGTTTAGTGATATGTCAATAGATTTATATATTATGACATTTACCGGTGAGTTTATGGCGGCCAAAAGGGTTTATGGTAGTCGGGTTTTGGGTTTATTAGTATTTTTTAGAAAAGTTTGAAGTTACTGACGGCTGATTGAATTTTTTGGCATTGGAATTTGTATATTTGGCCAAAAACTTGAGGAAGTTTAAGTTTTTAGGTTAGTTTAGAAAGAAGGCAGAGAAACCAATTTTAGAGAGAGAAAGAGAAGAAGGCAGGTTTGAGGAAACAATAGAATTTTAGCTTTTATACAACGTTGAAATGGCACCGTTTTGGAGAACTTAGACCTATGTGTTGACTTGTTGACCCACGCATCGACTCGCGCTCCAATCTGCTCGATTCACAGGTTTTCACTTTTTTTTGTTTATTTTCTACTTTGAATTTTATTTTATTTTATTTTTGCTTATTTTTTATTTTATTTTTGTTTATTTTTCAATATTATTTATATATATTTTAATATTTATTATTTTAAATGGTTGATTAAAATAAAGTGGTTAGAAAAGAATTTTTTTTTTATTTTTACACTATGTTTTTATGAGTTTAATATATTTGCATGACTTTTTGATAACTAATTGCATTTTATATATTTATTGTGTGATTTATTAAATATATTGTATAATTTCATGATTATATTTAATTGCATGATATTATTTGTATAATAATTTTTGCATGATAATTTTTTATCATTTTAATTGATTTTTTTAATTAAAAAATGTAGTTTTCCACAAAAAAAATAAAATTTTAATTGTACCAAATTATTGAAAGATTTTAAATTTTGAATTAAGTCTTACCAAACTATTGAAGGACTTAATGAATTTTCTTGAAAAAATATATTTTTTTAAATTTTACTAACATATTGAAGGATAATTCTTGATAGAAAATCTCATCAACATATTAGAAGATATTTTTGAAAATAAATTATTTCTTTATAAAAATTAAAATTTGATTGGTTAGCACAAATAAAATTTTTTTCACAAAAATTAAATGAATCCGATGATATAGCCTCTTCAAAGAGAAACATTAGTTTTTGCGAATACTTCTGAGGTAAAGAAATTATCTTAAATTGCTATTAAATTATTAAAGTAATTTTAAGATTAATTTTTAAAAATTAAATTATTTGATAAATTATAAAGATGTTTTAAAGCTTGTATAACTTGAAATTAAACTTGTATTATCCTTTAGATAGACGTTGTGGGTGTGTTATAATTTCTTTACGCATAACTGTACTCCCAAACTTAAAATTTGATTTCATAGATTAAAATTTACCTTTTAAAAATGCCTAATTCAAGTTTGGGACTATTCTTTAAAAAGAGATAGATTCAAATGATCAATCACATATATACAAAAAAGATTTATGGTAACTTCTAAAATCTATGTTTAGTGATAAGTTCACAAATCTATACATTATGATAGTATATTTCAAATGTGAAACAGTTTAGTTATCAAATTATAGATATTAAAAAAAATTATTTCATCAATTATCTGTGAACTTTTTAAACTTTTTGGGATGTATCAATATTTTATTCACATTTGTAAATAAAAAAATTCTATATCATAATTAATGAACTCCATTTAAACATGGTTAAAATTTGGTATGCATTTGTATGTATTATTACCATGAACGAGTAATACTTGGACATCATTTTTATTCCAGGTAATTATTTTTATTTCCTAACTTTACATATGAAAAATTCCAAGGAAGAAGCAGAAAAATTCCAAGGATTGAAAATTGAAGTATTGAGAAGAAGAAATGACTTAAAAATTTTGGACATCCCTCTCGTCTGATAATGATACCCATAGAAAACCCTGTTGTGGCATCAGATATGAGGTAAAGCATTAGCCATGGATACTTTGATGTGGTCATAAAAAATGATGAAAGACCCAACTTCCTTTCCCAATTTCCTTTACCCATGTCACATTATAATAAGAAATGTCATTGCCAATCACACCATTTTTAACATTAGCGTCCAAGTCCCATGTCCCATTGAAACTTGCCCTCAGAGTATTGTTATCCTTCCCGTGAATGCTAGTATAGTCATGGTATATCGTAGGCATGTTCATGCAACCTTTGCCGAAGCACGGAAACTGAGAATCCTGCCGGAAGGGCTTCGATTTCTTGCAGTTTTCCGGGCATATAGCAGCTAATGTGTCCATGTTACCACTTTTGAGCATTATCACCAACATTGCCATGGCCATGGTTCATCTTCAACTTAGCCTTTTTTTCCCAAATAAATTTCTTTCTCAGCAGCATATAAGTCAATCGTTTTTGCCTTTATTTCTCCATATGACCCATTTAACATTCCGAGCTTGTTATCAACATTAGCCACCTAGCTTGTGAATTAACCTGACTTTACTCCAAGAAAACAGTAAGGAATTGACGAAGTTTAGTGGAAACGTAACAAATTAATCATAGGTTTGATAAAAATATGATTCTTTTAAGCAAATAGTTTAAAATCAAATTCCTCCAATGTTTCATAAACTATTTCACTCATTTTAGGATTAAAAATTGATACTAAAACTTTTATGAAAGTCACTTTAAAATTTTTTTATGCGTATGATTTATTTTTAGATTACGTCTTTCTTACTTGAATGATTACTGATTGGGTTTTGACATAACAAAGATCGTTGATATTTGACAATTAAGATAATTTACCAAAGATATTGCATTATCAATGTCGAAGCAATCTGCTATCCTTGGACCTCCCATGTTGGAAACCTCTTCACCAACCTCATTGCATTGGTTCCACGACTCAATAGCCACCCTTTGATTATCTCTTCTCATTCGAGGATCTCCGAGCCGATATGTAATCTTTGGCACTAGCCATAACATGAAACTCAAAACAGCAAAAAAAGAAAAAAAAAAAAAGAAGAAAAAATCATTATTAGACGCAGACAGCCCCATCTCCAATTTACCTCCATTATTAATTTTCTCTAGCTAGAACTTCCAAGCTCAGAGAACAAAAGTTTTGTCACAAATAGACCAAGCAGCTAGTCCTCGCGTTTTATAATGTCTTGTGGCAATAAAAGAAGTTGTTATGCCATTGAGGCCATGGCTTAGCAAGAAAGATAAAGTTTTAATTTAATTTTATGTTAAATTTATTTAGTTATACGTTGATTTATCTGTTTGATTTATTTGATTTGATTTTTTTTATGATATATAATGCTTAATTTAATTGGTTGTAATAGTAATATCTATTTGCATATATTGTTTTTATTCTTCTTAAAAAATGGTTGTTAATGTCCGTAAGTTTGAAATCTTTATGCATTGCCAATTGAATCGAAATTAGGGAGCTGTAATAGGATTTTCCCACACGTTTGAGGTTTTGACCTCTTTAATTAGTGTTTGGTAGGAAACTTTCTAACCCGTGAGATAGTCTTGCTTCAGGTTACACTAATATTTTTAAGAATCCCAGTCAGCCTTGGCCTCTTTGAGTTGCAGTTATTATTTTATTAGATAAATAAATTTTCATTTTTATTTAAATATAATTTTATAAAAAAAATTTTAAGTTTATGTGCAGAGACTTTGACTTAGTTCTTCTATATTTAAACTCGATTAGTCTTAAAACAATTTGGCACAAACTCGGTTTATCGCCTCTAGCTCAAGTTTGGGTATTTCTCAATATTTTTACAATATTTTATTTATACGTGTTCAGGGTAATTATCAATTTAACTAAAAATAAAAGTAAAATAAATTTTAAAATAAATAATACTAATTTTTTAATAAAAAGAAATATAACAAACATGGCAATTCTGTGTTTCAAAAATAAGATTATTGTATTTTATTGAATAATTATTTTTATGTAAAAGATATCACAATTTAAAGATAGAAGATCAGATTGTGACTATAAAAATATATTTTAAATTTATTAAATATCATTTCATAAAAATAATTACATTTTTACTAAAATATAACTGTATAATATATCTAAATTAAACCCGAATTTAATACATACAATTTTACTATCATGCAAGTTGCAAATATTTCTTTAAGAAGATTTCAAATTTGGGCTTTAGGCTATTACTAAATTCTAAAACCAAATACTAATAAATGGGCCGATAAGCTCCAAAATCCAACTACTCGAAAACCAGCCGGCGGCTTATCCCTTTTTCTCTTCCAATTCCCACCTCTTCTCTCTTGTTCTCTCTGCTTTAAGACTCAAAGGAAAGCCACAGTAACCGAGGTCAGCCTTTCCCTGCTTTTTTTTTTTTTTTTCATATTATTATTTCATATTCAAAGAATGCATTGTTAATTGCTTAAAATAGCTACACAAATTTTTTTTTGGTTGCTTTTTGACCTTGAAACAGAACCCTGTTTATGGCTTCAAGGACTTTCCTTTGCTTCCACCATGGAAAACTCTTACTGCCCTTTACGACCACCAAGTTTATTCCTTCTTCTAAAAGAAGCTTGTCTTCCATAAGCTGTAGCCTAAACACTTCGCAGCATATTCTTGAATCAAAATCTCAACTGGGTAGTCCCACAAATGTTGTTAAAATTCTTGAAGAAAGAGGATTGCTAGAATCCATAACCAATGAGAATCTCAGGTTGGCTTGTTCAGACCAAACTGCTGGTCCTCTTAAAGTTTACTGTGGTTTTGACCCAACTGCTGAGAGCTTACATTTGGGAAACCTTTTGGGGCTCATTGTACTTTCTTGGTTCCAAAGATGTGGTCATAAAGCTGTTGCCTTGATTGGTGGTGCTACTGGTAGAATTGGTGACCCTTCAGGAAAAAGCCAAGAAAGACCCGAACTTGATTTGAAAACATTGGAAAAAAACATTGTTGGAATTATGGATACTATAAATCGGATTCTAGGTAAAAATTTAGATATCGGTTCTCAAAAAAACTCAAACTTTGTGATTTTAAATAATTATGATTGGTGGAAAGAGGTTAGGTTGCTTGATTTTCTTAAACAAGTCGGTAGATATGCGAGGGTGGGGAGTATGATGAGTAAGGAGAGTGTTAAGAAGAGGTTGGAATCAGAACAAGGAATGAGCTATACTGAGTTTACTTATCAGTTGTTACAAGGTCATGATTTTTTATACCTTTTTAAGAATGAAGGTGTTAGTGTTCAAATTGGTGGGAGTGATCAGTGGGGTAATATTACTGCTGGCACTGAATTGATAAGGAAAATTTTACAAGCAGAAGGAGCTTATGGGTTAACATTCCCTCTTTTGTTGAAGAGTGATGGCACTAAGTTTGGGAAATCAGAGGATGGTGCAATTTGGCTTTCACCTTCTATGCTGTCTCCATATAAGTTTTACCAGTATTTCTTCTCTGTTCCAGATGCAGATGTGGTGAGGTTTCTTAAAATTCTTACTTTCTTGAACATGGAAGAGATAAAGGAGCTGGAGAGTTCAATGACAAGACCAGGCTATGTGCCTAATACAGTCCAGCGGAGACTTGCTGAGGAAATTACTCGTTTTGTTCATGGTGAAGATGGTTTGAATGAAGCTCTTAAGGCAACTGAAGCATTGAGGCCAGGATCAGAGACAAAATTGGATTGGAAAACCATTGAAGGGATTGCTGAGGACGTTCCATCTTGCTCCTTGCCTTACAATCAAGTGTTGAATCTTTCGATTGTTGATCTTTCTGTCTCTTCTGGTTTGTTTGAGAGCAAATCAGCTGCCCGTCGTCTATTGAAGCAAGGAGGTCTCTACTTGAACAACAATAAAGTAGATAATGAAAGTAAAAGAATAGAGGCCGAAGACATTGTGGATGGCAAAGTTCTTCTTTTATCTGCTGGCAAGAAGAACAAGGTGGTTGTAAGAATGTCTTGACTGGTTGTAGTGGTACTTGATTCTAATATATTAAACAAAGTTTTGGATTTAATGATATATTAACAAAAGAAAGGTAATATTTTCGCATAAGGTGGTTCTCATATCAGTTGCAAAAGTATTTATTGTTAGCTTTTAGACATGGTCTTTTTTTGTATACATCATTTCTTTTCTTTGTCTTGTTTACAAAATTATATCCTTTGATTTTTTGGGCAAGGAATGGCCAGGTTTTCAATTTTGCTATCTGCCATCACAAGTTGTTGAAAATACACTTGCTATTAAATTGTAAAATATGATATGATATACAGATGGCTAAACATAATGGTCTTAGCATGCATGTTATAAACTATGAAATGCCACATTCTAGCAAGAAGAACTAGGTGGTTGTGAGAATGTCTTGACTGGCTGTAGTGGTACTTGATTCTAGTATGTTAAACAAAGTTTTGGATTTAATGATATATTAACAAAAGAAAGGTAATATTTTCGCATAAGGTGATTCTCATATCAGTTGCAAAAGTATTTATTGTTAGCCTTTAGACATGGTCTTTTTTTGTATACATCATTTCTTTTCTTTGTCTTGTTTACAAATTTATATCCTTTGATTTTTTGGGCAAGGAATGGCCAGGTTTTCAATTTTGCTATCTGCCATCACAAGTTGTTGAAAATACACTTGCTATTAAATTGTAAAATATGATATGATATACAGATGGCTAAACATAATGGTCTTAGCATGCATGTTATAAACTATGAAATGCCACATTCTTTTCAAGTGTGTATATACTATGCAACTGCTAAGTACTGGGAGAGGGGCCTTTGCCATTGCCTGTATAGTAGATAATGAAAGTAAAAGAATAGAGGCCAAAGACATTGTGGATGGCAAAGTTCTTCTTTTATCTGCTAGCAAGAAGAACAAGGTGGTTGTGAGAATGTCTTGACTGGTTGTAGTGGTACTTGATTCTAGTATGTTAAACAAAGTTTTGGATTTAATGATATATTAACAAAAGAAAGGTAATATTTTCGCATAAGGTGATTCTCATATCAGTTGCAAAAGTATTTATTGTTAGCCTTTGGACATGGTCTTTTTTTGTATACTTCATTTCTTTTCTTTGTCTTGTTTACAAATTTATATCCTTTGATTTTTTGGGCAAGGAATGGCCAGGTTTTCAATTTTGCTATCTGCCATCACTAGTTGTTGAAAATACACTTGCTATTAAATTGTAAAATATGATATGATATACAGATGGCTAAACATAATGGTCTTAGCATGCATGTTATAAACTATGAAATGCCACATTCTTTTCAAGTGTGTATATACTATGCAACTGCTAAGTACTGGGAGAGGGGCCTTTGCCATTGCCTGTAGAGTAGATAATGAAAGTAAAAGAATAGAGGCCAAAGACATTGTGGATGGCAAAGTTCTTCTTTTATCTGCTAGCAAGAAGAACAAGGTGGTTGTGAGAATGTCTTGACTGGTTGTAGTGGTACTTGATTCTAGTATGTTAAACAAAGTTTTGGATTTAATGATATATTAACAAAAGAAAGGTAATATTTTCGCATAAGGTGATTCTCATATCAGTTGCAAAAGTATTTATTGTTAGCCTTTGGACATGGTCTTTTTTTGTATACTTCATTTCTTTTCTTTGTCTTGTTTACAAATTTATATCCTTTGATTTTTTGGGCAAGGAATGGCCAGGTTTTCAATTTTGCTATCTGCCATCACTAGTTGTTGAAAATACACTTGCTATTAAATTGTAAAATATGATATGATATACGGATGGCTAAACATAACGGTCTTAGCATGCATGTTATAAACTATGAAATGCCACATTCTTTTCAAGTGTGTATATCCCATGCAAATGCTTAGTACTGGGAGAGGGGCCTCTGCCATTGCCTGTAGCTGTGAAAAACAGTGTAAAAATCTAAGAACCTTTAGGGCTAATACCTACGCAGGAAGCATGGAAAAATGCTGATATCCTTGTGCATAAAGTTTATGCTTTTGGCAGGTTGTTTGGCATTGAATTCTGAAAGTTAAGGGTCACTTAAAAACCTCAATATTATTTTGTGGACATGCCTGGAACCTGGAGCATTGCCATTCTTGTTTCAAATTGGTTTGATGTGCAGATCCTCACAGGAGAACTATGTATTTTACTTTATCTAACGCTATGCTTTATGGTAACCTGTTCTGAGCACTTTAGGCTGCTCGAAGTTTGACACTGAGAGCCCTTGACTATCTCAAATGGTGTAAGGCAAGTTCTTGATGTTATTGTTTCTTTTTATTGCCATCTTCATTGAAAGGGCAGTATAAAATGAGCATCATCATAGTTCTACTGATAATTGAAGTGCTATGATCTACAAAAATATGAATGCATTGACTTTGAGCATGCAGTTTGAAATAAATATTTAAAAATTTTAGAAACTGGTATTCAAATGGTTATAGATATGACAACTCTTTGCTAGGATGAAACTAAATGATTGGACCAGATCTAATTTCTGAGTTCTTACTATTCCCTGGTGTATAGCTTATTAGTATATATTGCTGTTTGTGAAATATACAAAATTTCACTCTGGGATTCTCAATTTTTCATCAGAGTTGTCTCCAAATATTGGACCTATGCATTGGTGGCAAAGTGGATAGATCTTTTGATTTTGCAACTTAATTCAGAGTGTCCATTTCTTGCTCAAAAGATGATGATTTTGTGTACTGATCTAACAGTAAATTGAAGTTACTGAGCTAGGTATCCAGAAGATCTTCAATCCAAATAAGCATGGGAATTAAAAGAAAAAAAAAAGGAGAGATTAAGAACTTAGATGAACATGCAGAATGACAGCATTTGTTCCTTTCTTATAAGGTAAGTAATGAGGTTTACACGTTTGTGTAAGTGTCTATATTTTGGATTTCTACAAGATTCAATAATAGCATGTATAATGTACCATAACTCATCAGAGTGACTAACTTCATTGCTCCTGCAAGATTTATTTGTTATTCTAAAAACGGAATGCATACTTTCTTGGAGCATTTCCCATCAAATGTTGCATTATGACTGCTAGAATCAACTGATTCCATCCTTAATCATGTTGTACTCTCATGTAGTCAATATAAGATTTTCCCTGCAGCTTACGAGCAAATAGGCCTTTGTAGTATTGTTTAACTTGTACTCTCCTAAATATTGCTGGTGTTTGTTATGAGATCAAGCTTCACACAGGGCCCATTTTGCCATCTCACCTTGGGCTGCAGAATGTGGCAAATGAGAGCCTTTCTCTTTTGGAGTTAACTGTGGCACGATGTTCAATGCTATGATACATTCCATTTGTTATAATCTGCCATATAAGAGTTCAGATAAGCAATACACACACACACACACAGACTTATGGTTGGTATTAGAAACTTATTATAGAGTTGATACTGGCTCAGTTGATGATGACCTTGGAAATTTTATGATATATTTGGAGGTAAAATGCTACTGCATTGTAAAGTCTTAACACTTCCATGATAATTATATTACCTCTAAAATGTCTGCAATGTTGACAATGAAGGCATTTGGTAGGGGTTTAACAGGAACCCACTTCCCATCTTTCCTTATGTGGAGACCTCCTACTTCATTGACCTGAAGCAAAATTATTAAAGCTGAAGCATCAGATTGAGGGGTGAGGCCAATGACATGCTCAAGTAGATGACATGGTAGGGTAATAGTTCACTGTTCACCCTCATTAATTGCCTTCCCTGTCGACCAAAGAACTCCACTTCCTCAGGTTTAATATGAAGAGCTTGTGCCATCTTTGCTAGGATAGCCATGGATAGATTCTTTAACTTAGATGAGTTAAGATCCATTGTCTCTCTACAGTAGGAAAATTCAAGTTAAAGCCCGTTAGGCAAAATGCTTGCATTGTCACGCAAAGGAATGTAGAGGAGAGTACCTCAAAGGAAGAGGGAGCTTGGGGAACAAGTAAGGTTTCCTAAAATGAAGTGGAGTGATGATGTAGATGATATCACCCCAGTCGAGCTTTTGATCATCAGATGCTAACAAGGGCTTGTCCAAATCCTTCAACTTTTCCAGGATACTGCCAGAACTTTTTCTTATCTTCCATTGGAAGGTTGAAGAAGTCCTGAATCTGTGTCTACTTTCTCCAACAAAGTTAAGCTCACTCCATGATTTACTAGCTGCAGGAATTTCAACAAATTAAACATCAACGGTGATAACAAGATGGGAGTTAATATACCCAGAAGAATAAGAAGTGATATAAAGGTGATATAAACATAGAGTTGATCAAGGGATTCCAGGCAGGATTTTTATTTCTAAAAGAATTCAGACTAAACAGAGGAGAGACCTTGCAAACAGAGAGAATACTAAAATCTGCTGCGATAAAAATATAAAATCCTTAAATTTTTAGGAACAAAAGAAAAAGTGAGATCAAGTAGCAAACATAACAAGAAGATTGAAAGATGTCTTCCAACTAAGCTATTAAAGAAAAAAAAAAAAGAATTAACCGTGACTCTGGTTTGATTACTTGAGGGAGTGTATTAACATTTGTTAGTGTAGAGGATTTAAGTTTATAGAGGCTTTTTACCTGGAAGAATCCCCTTTCTTTACAAGCAAAATCAAGCTTGACCATTTCAGAATCCATTGACTCTTCAGAAACAAATCTCTTCATATCAATAACTGAGATCTCTGCTTATCAATATCTGTTGTTTTGAGCTCATGTCATCAAAGCTAAAAATGACTTAACGTGTGAACATCACCAGTTTTTCCTTTGCCAAATGCTTCGTGCAACGAAATATATGCATATAGGTAAAACGTTGTTTGTTTTCAGTTGATCTTCTATCTTATGTGTTTATATTTTATAGTGTTATGAAACATTTGTCAATGGCTTTTACCTTGTGAGCCCCATATTGTCAACATTTTTACTGTTCTTAATGAAAGGTGGAAGTTCCTCACTCTTGAAATAGAAGTAAATCCCATTTGCCTTAGTTTTTGTTACCTAGCCTTCATATCTTGACATTCTTTAATTGAAAGGAAATTGGTTTGGAAGGGTGCTTTAAGTAATTGCAAATTTATACCGATCGCTAAGTTCCTGGTTGCAGCTAATGTGTACCATCGTGACCTTAAACCAAAGAATATATTGGCAAATGCAAATTGCAAATTTAAAGTTTGTGACTTTGGGCTTGCTAGAGTTTCATTCAGTGACACCCCAACCAGAATATTTTGGACCGTATGTAGTTTTTTTTTAGCAGGCCTTTATTTTTCCTTTATTTTCTGATGTTCCCTGCAGGACCATGTTGCTACACAATTGTACAGGGCTCCAGAGCTGTGTGGATCTTTCTTTTCTAAGGTATGGTTTTTGTGTCATGCATGGCCTTTGGTTCCTTAAATGGCAACATAGTGAAGCATGATATATGGTATCATCGACCAAAAGGTTGGCATAGATTTGTTGTTTGGCTATCTGCTACTTGCGGTCAAGGTCAAATCTTGTAGCATCTTCTGGTTCACTTATGAGTTCAATATGTCAGATTTTTTTTTGGTTAATTTTTTATAGACCTTCTATTTTCGTTATATCATTTGGTTCTAATGTTTTATGAAATTCAATTATGGATGTATTGCTGAATATTGGAGTACGCTCATTGAGTTACCATCTCGTTAGAGCTATGTCATACTTAACAAATCAAAACATTTTTTGTTTTATATAAAGAATACCTGGGTGCTATTTAATAAGCAGTAATGCCTAGATCAAAATAACTGTTGTTCAGGGAGGAATTTGAGCTCTCTTGGAAGCTGAAATATGTCATTCAGGTAATTGTGTCAGGTTATGTTTGTTTCTCTGGAGTGCTTTACTTGGGGTGTGGCTTTTAAATTTTACTTGTTAAGTCTAATTTCTGTTGGCAACTGTGTGCAGTATACACCAAGAATTCAAATAGCGGTTTAAAAGCGGAATAGTGACCGCAAAATAACAGTTGCATCACCATCCGTCATTGTTATTGGACAAAATGCAGTTGAGAATTTTATTCACGACAAAAACGAAGTGTAACGGACGTAAATTACGATATAACAGAGAATAGTGACAATAACGGACATGTAACGATCGTAAATTATGATGTAACAGAGAATAGCGACAATAACGAATCGTTATTGCTGCTATTTAGTTCTCCTATTCACGGATCTAATAGTTTGAGAAAAAAACAAAATTTCAAGTTTTCAACTCGGCAAAACAAAGCAATAAACCTGCAAAAGTAAAAATAAAAGCAAAAGCAAAAAATAAAACTCAAACTCTCAAATCTATAGCATCAAAATTAATTTGAAAATGAGCTAAAAAATAGACGAATATTTCAAGTTTCAACCATTCAATCGGTACTTTGGCACCTAAATTCAAATCAGCTTCAAGTTTTCAATCAACATTCAAGATCAAATAAGGTAAGAAAAGAAAGTTAAAATTTTTTTTTTTGTAAAGTGATGTCTGTTATGTTGTGAGAGTTTGAGAGAGACGAACGAGCTATTCCATAGGTATTGGGTAAGTGATAATGATGAAGAGATGCGAGAGAAAATGAAAGATGAAAGAAAAAAGAGAAGAAGAAAATTCTAGAAAGCTACGCACATGGGGAGGGATTGGGTGCGGTAGGGTGTTGGGAGGTGGGAAGGGATTGGGTGTGGTGGAGTGTTGGGGGGTAGGGGTTGAATTTTTTATTTAATTTTGTAATTAATTTTGAAAATTTTTTAGATAAAATTTAATTAGAGTTTTTAAAAATTTATAATTAAAAAAATAATAGATTAATAATTTAATATAATATATATAGAGATTTTAGATGAAAAATTTTGATAAATTTTTTTGTATAAGTTAGATGAAAAATAATTAAAATTAAATATTATATTTTGATTGTATTATATATTAATTTATAATTTTGTATCTGAATTTTAATTTTTTGTTGTTGTTTTGATATTTATATTGTTGTCAATTCTTTTAACATTAGATTAATTTTTGTTATTTTTGTGTAATTATTGAAGATTGTATTTATTATATAATTATTAAAAGTTATTTGTGATAAAAATATTTATATCAATTAGTGTATCAAAAAGATTAAGTTATTTAATAAATTTAGCATTTTATGATCTATTACTCTTACTAAAATTAAAAACTAAAAAATAAAAAATATAGGTTTGAAAATTTTATTAAAATATAAGTTTGAAAATTTTTAATTTTTAAAATTATTTTAGATAAAATCTAATTAGAGGGATTGAAAATTTATAATTAAAAAAAATTAAGGGATTAATAATTTAATATGATATATATAAAGATTTTAGATGAAAATTTTTGATAAATTTTTTTGTATAAGTTAGACAAAAATTAATTAAAATTAAATATTATATTTTGATTGTGTTATATATTCATTTATAATTTTGTATATGAAATTTAACAAATTTTTTTGTTGTTTTGATATTTATATTGTTGTCAATTCTTTTGATATTAGATTAAATCTTATTATTTTTGTATAATTATTGAAGATTGTATTTATTATATAATTATTAAAAGTTATTTGTGATAAAAAAATTTTATATCTATTAGTGTATAAAAAAGATTAAGTTATTTAATAATATTCTTAAGATTAAAAACTAAAAATTAAAAAATTTAGTGTAAAATCAATTTTTAATGATGTAATAAGTAATATTAATATTTCTAAATATAAATTTATTTTGTTTTTATATAAAATAGTAAGTATGCCACCACGTGAAGAGTTCTCGAGTAAAGGAGTAGAGGACACCAAGTGATGATATAAGTTGGCATTTTGGAACACCTGTGCCAAATACAAGAGGAAATATTTCATGTAAACTTTATGATAAAGTTGTAAAATGAGGAATAATACGTTTCAAAGAATACATTCTCATAAAAACTGGTAATATTGCACAATACCCCAACGTTACTGGTGTAGACACCTTATTTAGTCTGGACCCAAACCTATTGGGCATGGTCCAATAGGATTTGGTCTAAGCCCATTGGATTCGGTTTAGGATCCAATTAGCTGGCCCCAATGGGTTTTTATTTTTATTTTCATTATTTAATATATATTCTTTATTTTTTTATCTATTAATATTTTTATTATTTATCTACTTTTATTTTTTATTTTTATTTATCTATTTCTTTTATTTATCTAATTATTTTTTTTGTTATCTATTAATATATTTATCTTTTAATTTTGATTAATTTTCGGTTAAGATTAGGATAAAAAAATTGGAATGAATTTGGCTGTAATTTGAGAATTGACAGAGTTGGGATTGGATTTAAAGATTGAATCCAAATCCCAGAAAGAGTTGAGATTGATCAAAAACTCTTTTGATCAATCCCTATAAATAGGTGCTGAAAGAACAGACAAAAACACACAGAAAAAAGGCAAACACAAAGAAAAAATGAAGCTAAAAAAGGTTTTGGTGTGTTAGAATCCTGAGTCGAGTCTCCGAGCTATTTTTCCTCCTCAAGTCGAGCCGAGCCGCTAAGCCGAGCCGTTCCTAGGTTTTTTTTTCGTTATTTATTTATTTATTTATTATTATTATTATATTAGAATTTTTTAATATTTTTTATTTTATTTTATTTTATTTTATTTTTATTATTTTATTTCTCCTTATTTTTATTTTCATTTTTATTTTATTTTATTATTTTATTTTCTTTAAATAAAATTCAAAAAAAATATTTTTGAGGAAAAATTGAAAGTATCAATTTTTCTTGAAAATAAGCTTTCTAAAAAAATAATATTTTTGGAAAAAAGTTGAAAGTATCAATTTTCCTTAAAAATAAGTTTTCAAAAATGGATTTTTGAGGAAAAGTTGAAAGTATCAATTTTTCTCGAAATTAAAGTTTTCAAAAAAATTTTTTTTGGGAAAAGATGAAAGTATCAATTTTTCTTAAAAATAAAATTTCAAAAAAGATCTTTTTGAGGAAAAGTTGAAAGTATCAATTTTCTTCGAAATTAAAGTTTTCAAAAAAAATATTTTTGGGGAAAAGTTGAAAGTATCAATTTTTCTTAAAAATAAATTTTCAATAAAGTTTTTTTTTTTGAAAAAAAATTGAAAGTATCAATTTTTCCTGCACAAAAACAATCATTTTTTTCTTCCTTTTTATTTTTTTTAATTTTAAATAATCCGACGATGGAGCCTCTGCAAGTGAAACAATAGTTTTCTTGCATACTCTTGAAGTGAGGGGATTTTCTTAATTTTCTGCTAAAAGTATTAGAGTCAATTGAGA